GGGTGAGAGGGCCGCCGCCGCCGCCCCGCTTCTCTTTCGGCCTGGCGTTCTCCTTGTCCTCCTTCATGGCAGAACAACAAGCCTCCCTCCGCCTCAGGTGAGCCCCGCTCGCTCATTGGCCGCCGCTCCTCTCGCGAGAGCAGCGGCAAAGAGGGGGGTTGCGTAGAGACGTCACAACGCCTTCCGCGCTACCTCTGGGCCCCAGTGGTTGCCATAGAAACGGGCCTTCCCGGCATGCCTCAGCACAGCCTACTGCCGGAACTACCATGGGGGGCGGTTGTTTATCTGTTTCTTTTCTGGCATGCGCTGGTCTCTTAGGGATGTGAAAGCTGCTTTATTAATTTATTAATAACAAAAAACAATTAAAGCCGTGAGTTGGGCGCCGTTCCGTTCACGGCTTTAATTAAAAACCCGGAAGCGATCTGAAAACTGTCATGGAGCTGACGCGGTGCATTGTGGGCCTGCCGGGGGGGGTCGAGAAGGCGCCGCCGACCGGGCCAGTGGCGCATGCGCAATTGTGCCATCCCTGAAGGGGAGCCAGAGGTGGTGGTGGGGAGTTCGAGTCCTTCGCTGTCGGGATGTGGTACGAGATTTTGCCCAGTCTGGGCGTCATCTATGCCTTCCTGGTCATGCCTGGAATAGCTCTGACTTATATCCAGAAAAAGTCAAGCGGGGACAAGGTGAGTACGGCAGGCCTCGGCGGCGGGCCTTTTGGAGCGTTTAAGTGGCTAGTCCACATGGAGGTGCGCTCTCTGCCTCGCTCTCTGTTGCTGTGAGAAAGGAGCATGGAGGGACGTGGGGTGCCCGTTTGTTTGAGGAAGTCGGCGGCATTCAGCGCGTGGAAGATGATGCCCAGCAGCCTTTAAGGGTTGGGCATCACAAGACCCATTATTCCTAACCAGTTGGAGGTCAGGTGAGGACTGTAGCCCGCCCTTAGAAATAATCATCCTCTTTCTTTTTAAAACGGAAGAATTCAGACAACAGGGCACATGTAGAGGATCCTGTCATCCACCGTGAGGACAGAGATAACATTTAACTGTTTTAGTTAGTAATCACGAACGAGAACTAGGAAATCTTTGGATGCAGAACAGTGTCACAGTTTAGACCGATTGCATTTGAAATACAAAGAGCTGTATAGCTAGTCTCTGCTAGGCAATGCTCAAGAAGACAATATATATTTCTAAAAACAAAATAAAGAAGAATACTGTCGTGTTTCTAATGTACTGTAAGCATTTCAAAATTATAAAATATGTTTTACTTTGTTTATAACTAACATTCGTAGTATCAGGACTTAACTCCCACCTTTAGCTATGAGGATATGTACCTATAATTCTAGATAATGTTTCATGCGCCTGATGGAAATGGGCTGTTATCCATTACAAGTCATACTATAATCAATTTGTTGTTCATTGTGCCACATGCCTCTTTTTGCTTTGACAGATTAATGTAGTTGTTCTTTTAGAAAAATTAAATAATTGGAATAAATAAGGTTTAGCACTTTTATATAGGGGGAAAAAGCAAAAGGTCCTGTAAGGTTAAACAATTAAAAAGTACGGAGCACAGACAGAGGACAGATTCCTGTCCTCTGAAGATGCCGGCCACAGAGACTGGCGAAACGTTAGGAAGAACAAACTTCAGAACACTGTCCAAGAGCCCAAAAAACCGATTAAAAAGCAATTTAAAGCTGAAAAGCTAGTACTCTTGTTGTTTAGGAGTTTGTTTGAGGGGCAGGGGAATGTTGCAGGATTAACACTTAATGATACGGCCTTACTCCTTAAGTATCAAGGTGTGTGGTCCAGAGACAGTTTGAGTTCCACATTCTTTTTGGAGCTGTACCAAAGATGTGGACTGTGTTCTTTGGGTTATTCCTTTAGCTGAAATAATCTAAATTGAGTTTATCTGAGTTGTATCCAATCTAAACTATTGTACTTTGCTTTGTATCTAATCTTACTCATACTACCATTTTATTTTCTTTCTCTTCCTGTCCTCCTTGACCCCTACATGTCTGCACACTTACTACCTTTATTCTGTGCACTCAGCCAAAGAGGATTGTTCGGACTCCCAATAGTTTTTTCATGATGGAAAGAGATGTGCGTGTCTCTAAGACCAATCGCTACTATGATTCTAAGGTTAGTTTGACTTCTTTTTGAAAGCAGTTCATATGCAAAATTCAAACCACTGCCATTTCCCCATCCCTGAGAATTAAATACCTCAGCAGCTCACAACTTCCTTGGACCCTTTAATGAATTCTGGCTGAATCCCATACCCTCATTTCTTCCCGTCTTCAAAAATTTTGAGCAGAATCTAATAGAGAATTTGACACTGATACAGTGGCCAGAATCTTGTAAATACACAAGGATACGCTAATATAGCTACATTGGTGTTACTTTTTTTGTTTGTTTAGTCTAGCAATATCAGTTGCTTGGTAATGTGAACTATGGGAATCTGTTTCTCATAAAATAGTCTCAAGTCACATCCAGCCTCACAAATATTTAGTGTTTTCTCCCTCTTCTTTTCTCTCTATAGTTGCTCAAGCCAGTGTTCGTAAGACCTGTTTCCTTTAGGATATTCCATATGTGCATATATACCTGAAATGTTAAATGGTTATTCCATCTAAACAATCTGAGCAGCATCCTCGTAGATCTAAATTAGGGATGTTTGAGGCAACTGGATCCAGCGGTTAGTTTATGTATTTTATTTGAACACATACACAGAAAAGTAAATTAACTAAAAATAATTTAAGGTGCTTTAAAGACTACCTGGGATTTGAACCCCAGGTCGTGAGCACCATATACCTGAAATGTTAAATGGTTATTCCATCTAAACAATCTGAGCAGCAGCCTCGTAGATCTAAATTAGGGATGTTTGGGGTAACTGGATCCAGCGGTTAGTTTATGTATATTTGACTTTTATACCACCCATCTGGCTATGAAGGCCACTCTGGACAGCTTACAAAATTATAACATAATAAATAGCAATTTAAGAACAGTAAACATAATGGTTATTTAAAAATCAAATTTAAACACATACACAGAAAAGTAAATTAGCTAAAAATAATTTAAAGTACTTTAAAGACAAGCGCCCACAAGGGACGTGGTGGCGCTGCGGGCTAAACCGCAGAAGCCTGTGCTGCAGGGTCTTGACTAAAACCATGGAGTGAAGAGTTCTAATCCTCTTGAAAGTAATAATAAACATGGATTTCACCAAATCGGCCAGTATGCCAGTCATGCAGCTGAAAGGAGGAGGGAAGAAATGATTCGGCTGCTTATTTTTATTGTAATAAAGAGAACATGTAAATTGGAACAGCATGATTATTGGAGGGAGGGCGGAACACAAGAATACCGAGTCTTGTTCTCTTTGCTGAGTTGCTTCTGCACTGATTAAACGAATACTCTTATTCACAGAGATTCCAAGGTGTTGAAGGAGGCTTTTGATTTCCACGAGGCTTCTGCCTTTGGAGGTGCCAGAGGATTTCAAGGTTGCCTCCTGTTCTCCGGGATATCTATGGGCGGGATTACCCCTGTTGATGCAAGCACCGATTCCTCACATTCACAAGAGGTTGTAAGTGTGATACTACAGCCTGGTGTAGCCGATCAGATTTGAACACATCCGTGGGGGCTAGTGAATCTGAAGGGTTTCGGCCGAGTTGTCATCAGCATGCTGCTGACCACGATGTAAACTCTCATTTCAATCATCTAATCAAGCAATGGCGAACCCATGGCATGTGTGCCACAGCTGGCACGCGGAGCTCTTTCTGTCTGCACGTGAGCCATAAGTTGCTGGATTGCTACTCCCCACCCCCACCCCTGCACAGCCAAACCTGAGAAGGCGGCTGCAGCCACCGTGCTGGCACTTCGGCAGGTGGATCTGAAGCAGTTAGCGCTGGTAGCAGATCCGGAGTGGGGTCTCAAGGCACCTCCATGCCCGGGATTCCCACTTCCAGTGTTGCTGCCGACGCTGCCCACTAGTTTTTTGTTTTGTTTTTTCAGTTTGGGCACGCGAGTCCCAAAAGGTTCGCCACCACCCAAAGAAGGGTAAACAATGCTTCCACAGCACCACCCCACACAATGTCTTTGCATCACCTTTTTTTAAAATGGGATTTTAAACTCTCGTGTCCTCTGAGGGACATGGGGCGGGGATCTTCCCATGCTTTGGTGGGCCCCCTATACTTTTTTTTTTAAATCAAAGTTAGCCTTGTTGGTTTTGTTTTGTTTGCCACTTTAGCAAGGGGTGGTGGTTGTTAAAGAATCCTCAATTTTTGTGAGATGAGTGTCGAGGTCCAAGTTGTGGGAACAGATGTCGCCCTCAAAGTTCCCCTCCCCCCCCCCCCGGTGTTTGTACATTGCCTGCCCCAATCTAACAATAAAGAAGGAAGAGATACCCTGGATCAGAATTGGGAATGGCTGTTGTGGTATGCTGCAATCGATAAAATACAGATACACAATATGAGACCATATCACTTCTGGAGGAATCAATGTTCATTCTGGGCCTGTTCCTTAGGGGATTTGGTGACAATGCTGATAAGAGTGCCTTCTGACACTAACTTTATCTGGTCCTCAGGTGCAGATGTATCTAAAGCAGAGTTGGAAAAATTGTTGGTCCAAGCTGTGATCTAGTGAAAGGAGATCTGTGTGTGTTTGTTTGTTTTGTCCTGCCTTGCTCCTTTCAAAGGATCTAAGGAAATTTATACCATTAAAAGACAGCATTTAAAAGTTAAACAGTACATATATGAATATTTAAAAAGAAACAAATACTACACTAAAAATGGAAACAAAATCAACACTAAAACCACATTTTAAGCAACAGCACTCAATTTAAAAAAAAAACCCACTCAGACAGCCAATCAGTAAAGGAAAGTCTGCCTGGAGAGAAAGGTGTTTGCTTGTGGAAGGACATCAAAGATGGGGCCAGTCGGGCCTCCTGTGGGACGGAGTTCCAGAGTTTGGGAGGAGCAGCCACAGAGAAGGCCATATCCTATGTCGCTACCAAACACACCTGTGAAGCTGGTGGGACAGAGAAAGGCTTGCCCTGGCAATCTTAACATGCCTTAGTTGCTACCATATTGATATATCACTTTTGTCTTAAATGACTCTGCCTTTAAAGATATATTTGAGTATCCCACAAGCACAACATTTGGCAGCTAGGATGTTAGCGAGTGACGTCTGGAAGGCGTGTCAGTGTTCTTTTTAATCAGTTCCACTGATTTCCAGTTCCTGAGCTCTGTTTAAGACAATGGTCTGAGATAAGTTTCCCTAGGGAGCCTTTGCTGTATAAACC